CCCCCCCCCCCCCCTCCCTTTGAAAAATCCTGGCTACGACCCTCTTACCCCTTGAAAATCATGAAAATTTGATGTTCTTAAAACTAGCATATTTGCTAGTTAAATATTTGCTTAAACAAAATCGAATTTCCGCGGAGGAACTATCAGCCGATAGTTCTTCGACGGAAACACTCTTCGTCTGATATTCACCCGTAAGCATTTTATCAGTAGCTTGTTAGTACCCGCCGCCGATAGAAAAGATAAGAATAAGAAAAAAGGGTAAAAAATGAAATGACTGTCAAACAAAAAAATGGTCAGTTGATAAAGAATGTCGCTTTAAAAAACAGTAAGGGGGCTTTCGAACCAAAAACACAGAGATCTTTTAAATGCAAACTTACGAGTACACTGGATATCATGCTGCTTCTAACGAGATACAAAAAGCTATACTGAAGGAAAAAAGTAAGAAAAAACTAAGCACTTCAACTCCAAAATCACTAAGTTAGAGGAAAATGCCTCGGACAAAAAAGGCTTTTGAAAATGTTTAACATCCATACGTGACACGCGAAAAGACAAAGACGACATTAATAAATATAATGATAATAATGATGATGATGATGATGATGAAAATGATAATAATAATAATAATAATAATAATAATAAAATTTTTATAGCGCCATTTCCAAATGGTTCAATAGCTCTTTACAAGAAATTGAATCTATTAACAAATACCTACTATAAATAAATTAAGAAAATGTCGAAAAACATTAAAATTAAAAAATATATATAATTCAAAATTTCAACTTCAATATGCTTGTTTAAAAAGCCACGTTTTCAGTTTACTTTTAAAAATGTTCGTAGAAGACAAGTCTTTAATATCTTTTGGAAGTACGTTCTTCACAGTTGGAGCCGAAACCGTAAATGAACGGCCCCCGTAGCCTTGGCTTGTAAAGAATATTCTGAGTGGTCGATCTAAGTGTTCCAGCGGGGTTGTAGGGCTTGAAGAGTCTTAAAGGTAATGAGTCTAATTTTGAAGATGAGTTTTTTTTCTACCGGAAGCCAATGAAAATTCTTGAGCAACGAGGTAAAGTGGTCATTTTTTTTTTTTTTTTTTTTTTGAGAGATGGATAAGCCTGGCTGCACAACTGAGGACTAGTTATGCAGTTGTGACTTATATCCCTTCCAAATTCTGGTCTTGTTTTTCTTGCAAATTTCTAGTCGTATTATGGATATCTCAGCCAGTGAAGGCCGAAAATATATGTAAAGCTTTAATATATTTTGGCTAATGTTTTGATTTCTCTAGTTCTCACATAGTGCTGCGTATCGGAAACGATGTGTTTACTGATACAATAAACTATAGGTTTTTGACCAGTCAGAGCTCGCGTAGTCTGTCAGTTTCTTTCTAAAAGGGAATACACAGGATACAAGGGAACTAAAAATACAGGAGAATACAGGGGAATAGTACAGAATACAAGGGAATACAGGGGAATTCAGGGGAATTCAGGGGAATACAGGGGAATGCAGTGGTATAGTAGAGAATATTTAAATACACTACAATAAGGGATACATGAAGTACTTAGGTAAAATCCGAGAGGCAATCCGCTGATCAGGGTTTTAGTTATGCAGCAGGCTTGAACTCTTTCAACTGCATGCTGGGATGTTTTCATGTCTAACATGGCGACTGTAGTCAGCTTGAACTGGAAAAGTTTTTTTCGGAATAGTCCCTCGACCATTGTGTTAACCAGCGAAAACGGTAAGTCATTAGCTTGAGAGTTACACTTTACAGACAAACAAAGACTTTTATTGGAGTGTCAAATTCCTAAGAGGTAGATAGACTTTCACTCAATCGTGGCCACGCTTTAGAAGCTGTTCGTAAGCTTTACACTGTGCGTGGATCGATCCGAAGCGAGTTTAGATAGTTTAAGCATACATGTAAACAGTGACGCCGTAAATCGCTAGAATTTTTTTTATTGTTTTGTCTTTTTATGTCACTGTCGGCTTATCAAACGTGCAGATTGCGATGTGATAGTCAATTCAAGTCAGCTACTCCATTAGGCTCTTTTATAAATAAGTCTAGTGTTTTGATCCTTGTCCTCTTTTCTTCTTGTCGTATTCAAGTTAGCTAATGAAAAGAAATCATTAATTGTCTGCTTGCAGTACCAAGTGTACATGTGACTTGATTGAGTCGGAGATTTCCAAAACTAGACGGATATTTGTATCCAAAAAGCTAACTCAAGACATGGCCTTGCCCTTTTTTTTTATTACAGACACACTCAAAACCTTATTACATTTCCTTCTAAACATTTGAAAACATGGCATGTGAACAATACCAACAAGTCCATCTATTGTTTCTGTGTTTGGGAGCATTTTTTTTTTGTGTGTGAAATGGAGTGTTGCTGTGCTACAGGATCACCAAATGTGAAAATTACCCACTTTTCCAAGCTGCCACTTGTCACCAAGACCAAATTATTGTTCTTTAAGGATCCTTTGTCATCTTTTCTCTACACTTTGTTGTGGAATTCATACTGTAAAAGAAAATGTAGCTTTTTGCATTACGTATATGCTTATCTATCTTTTCAGAGAGGGGACTATCCAGTTCATATGAGAAGCATTTTTATTCCAGTTTTAAACAAATGAAGATGTATTTCTATTATTATAAATGCAGGTCTGATAATTTGAATTACCCAGAGGAAATATGCAAAAGGAGAGCTCTAGTAAGAAGGAATCTGTGCTGTCATTATACACTGATGAAGAAATTGAAGGTGTCAGCACCACTAGTTCTGTTACAAAGAACGAAAGCACACTGAAAGGTGAAGTGAATTTTTCTGAGGTCAGTTCAACATCTGAAGACACCAACCAGCTCCCTAGCAGCTCAAGTAAAAGCATATTTATGGACTTGTACGAAGAAAATATTGTGGATTCTGGATCTGACAATGTTACTGGTGTAAAAGGTAATGGTGCTTTTGCAGACAAAACCAAACCTAAGCCTGGATTGTCACTCCTTGGGGAATATGCCGACAGTGGAAATGACACTGAGGAAGAGATACGGAACTCACTCATAGCCAAAGTGAAAAAGCCTGTTAAAAAAACTAAGAAAGCAGTAGACATCTCAGCTGTTAAAAATTCTAGTACTGAACATGCCATAAGAAAAGAAGTGAATGCGTCTAATGAAAATTCCAACAAGCTTGAAACTAGTGGTGGCGAGGTTTCCAGGGAGACGTGTCTCTCTGATGACAAAATTTCTCTTACTGAAGAGAAAGAAGACGATTTCAATGACTTTGATATTCATGCAATGCTAGATGACAGTCTAGCCAAAGTGGAGAAAATCAAGGAAGAGGGTCAACTTTCTGCATCTGATTCCAGTGATAGTGACAGGTCATCTGACGGCAAAAAAGACTCCAAGAAACGAAAAGAAGATAGAAAGGACAAGAGCAAAAAGAAGGATAGGAAGAAAAAGAAGAAGAAACGTAAAAAACAGAAACAAGTAGTTGAAAAGAAAGACCCATCTGAAAGTAAAGGTAAGTACCTTAGTAAAGTGAACAGTCAATGCTTCATTTACTCTTAAATGATACTACCCAATTTAGTTTAGAATGTTACTGTGGTGAGTACATACTGTAGTCATACATACTGATATGTATAAATAATGTTGTTTTGAAAGAATATAGCTTGTACAGGCTTTGAAGAGTCCTTGAAAAAGTGCTATAACTGTGAAAAGTTGAACTTTTTAGGTTTTCTCTTAAAAGAGCCCTTGGGGTTTTACCAGTGGTCTGCTGATTCACTTCGCTCCTTTGGCTGTTTACTTGAATTGGACAATGACAAAAAGAAAGGCAGAATGTTTAATTTTGAATCTACCATGTGCTTTTTTAGTAGTGTAAAACTTCTGTTGTACGCAACATCCAATATGGTGGCAAATATGGCAATTGGAGGAAGAACCCAAACAAAGCTCCCTTGGATTTTAAAATTAATCCATGCATTCAAACCATTGTTTTGCTCATCTTGCAGTCTTAAGTTTTGACATTGCGTAGTTCCAGGAAGTATCATACCTCTCTCACGGAAGGGATTTTCTCTAACATCCCCTCTGGAAATTCCAGTTAAGCTTCATACATTTCTTTAAATTTTTTGGTCTTTCAGAACCCCCCCCCCCCCCCCCCCCCCCCCC